GGCCCCGGGCCATGCCGTGGTGGAGCCGGGATGGGGGGGCTGCAGATGGGGGGATGTCTCTGCACTGCCCTCCCTTCGCGCCGCAGACAGCCTGGCTCTGCTCTTGGCAGGAGGGCGAAGGAGGGAGCTCCATCTGCATCCCTGACTGCTGCGGGGGAGGTGTGGGGGGAGGGAAGAACTAAATAAAAAGGGATCAAAGATTAGACATGGCTCTGTGTAAAATCGGCCTCTCCCAGCCGAGCAGATGGGCAGGAGTCGCTCATGCCAGGGAGGGAATTTGCAGAGTCACATTTAGAGGAAGCCTCCCTTTCCTAGCTGTATCGCCTGGGCGGCCAGCTCCCCGTGGCAGCGCAGCCCGGCCCCATACCTGCATTGCCGAGCTGTTTGTAGAACCGATACTCCAGGTGCAGCTGGGGGGCCCGGGATTTTATGGGTTCCTTGGAGGAGAGAAGGAGAATGGTTAAGGCTGTTGTAGGGAGCAGGATGTTCGGGAGGTCTGGGTGTCAGACACCTCCTTCACATGCTGGCAGCAGCTGGACTGAGAGCATTTGGGGTAGAGAAAAACTGGTATAAAAGGGAGATGAAGCCTCAGGGGACGATAGGATGAGAAAAAAGCAGCCCATACGGGAGCCAGATCCACCCCCTCCAGAGAGATCCGGGTGCTGGGGTAGACATTGAAGGAGCAGGTAGCAGGGGTGAGGGAGGGAAGAACTAAATAAAAAGGGATCAAAGATTAGACATGGCTCTGTGTAAAATCGGCCTCTCCCAGCCGAGCAGATGGGCAGGAGTCGCTCATGCCAGGGAGGGAATTTGCAGAGTCACATTTAGAGGAAGCCTCCCTTTCCTAGCTGTATCGCCTGGGCGGCCAGCTCCCCGTGGCAGCGCAGCCCGGCCCCATACCTGCATTGCCGAGCTGTTTGTAGAACCGATACTCCAGGTGCAGCTGGGGGGCCCGGGATTTTATGGGTTCCTTGGAGGAGAGAAGGAGAATGGTTAAGGCTGTTGTAGGGAGCAGGATGTTCGGGAGGTCTGGGTGTCAGACACCTCCTTCACATGCTGGCAGCAGCTGGACTGAGAGCATTTGGGGTAGAGAAAAACTGGTATAAAAGGGAGATGAAGCCTCAGGGGACGATAGGATGAGAAAAAAGCAGCCCATACGGGAGCCAGATCCACCCCCTCCAGAGAGATCCGGGTGCTGGGGTAGACATTGAAGGAGCAGGTATCAGTGGGGACCACCCTCTCCTGGAGGCCTCTCTGCCACTGGCACCAGCTGAGCTCAGCACAGGCCACTGTGATGTCCTGGAGAAGCAAAGACCCAGCCCTTCTCCCCCCGGGCCCAGATCACCCCACCTGCAATGACGTGTGTTGCTTTGCCTGCCCTCAATTCCTAGCAGTGAGTGCAGCTCCCCGCGCAACCACCCATCCATCACCTATTGCAACCCACTCTTAACAGCCTGGGGAGGGTGAACAACCTCCTTCCCAGGTGGCCTGAACATCACCGCCCCGACCACGGAGGGACTCACCAATTTGATAGCTACGTATTCGTTCGTGTAGAGGTTCTTTCCTGCAGGGAGAGACACGAAAAAACGCAATTGAAAGCAACTGAGCCTTTGCATTAACTCCACATCACACTCGCTGCAGTCCCCTGAGGGCTCCTGGGCTGCAGAACATCCCAAACAGGTTCGGTGACTCCCACAACACATAAACAGGCCTAGAGGCATGAGCAGGAGCAGGAACCCACTGTGGGGAGTTGCAACATGCCTGCTAATTACCCCTAGATGGGGTGCACGGATTCCTCTGGGATGGGCAGGCTGCTGAGGGGCTGGAGCCAAGTCTGCTGGGAGGGGGCAACGTCCCAGTCCAGGCCTGCAGGGATGTGACTGGCCAAGGCTGGGACTTGCTGTTTCTCCCATGGAAAGGGAGCATGGAGAGGGGCTGCCCTGCTCTGGGATGGCTGTCCAGAGCTGGGGGATGCTGCTTTGTGGGCAGCGGGACCACGCAGAGGGTGGCAGGGAGGAAGGACCCCAAGAGCAGCGGGGTAGCCTGAGGCATTGCAGCTGGCCATGGTTCAAAGACACTGCAGGTAGGTGGAAAACTCTTCCCAAGGACTGGGATCACTCCTGGGGATGGGGGGCGTGTGTGTGTGTGCATGCACACATGTGACTCAACCTCATCCCTCAGGATGCTCCCACCCACCCGAGGGCACAGGGGAAGCCAGCAGCAGACCCAAGGCACTGACACGCTATGGGGAGGGCCAGACGACTGCCTCCAAGCGCCCACGAGAGCTGAAAGGGCAGCAGTGCCACCCCAAAACCCTGCTAATGACTTCCTAGAGTTATGGGAGTTTTCACACCCATAACCACAGAAAGCCTAAACTAACAGCGTCTGCACATCGCGCTGCTCACCCCAGCAAGCCAGGAAGGCATGAGGAAGGTGTTACACCTGGGAAGCGTCAGTACAACCGCTGCCCCAGGTCCACAAAGGCAAAGATTAAAGAAGTTTGCAGAAATATCTGAGTGCCCCTTCTGCCAGAGCCCTCTAGGACACCGGGGAGATCGGAATTAACTGCAGCAGGTTCACTTCCATGGCACGCAGAGCCAGCAGACACGCGATCCCACTGCCTGGCATGTGCGTATCTGATGGAGCTGCATCTGTCTCCTCGGATTTTCTCCAAGCAATTTGCTCAGGGAACAAGCTCCTCCTGGCATAAGATTTCATCTGCTCTGACTGCTGCTCTCCACCTGAAGCAGCAATAAATCCTCGCCGGGTGACATCAGAGCCAGCTGCTGAGCGCCAGAGTCAGCGGCAGGATTACGGGAAGAGGGATGAATGGGAGATATTAATGGAGCGGCTCCTCCCAGGGACAGGCTCTGCAGCCAAGGAGGGGCTCACTCCTGCTGCCTCGGTGACTCTCCCCACCTGGGAAGCGTCAGTACAACCGCTGCCCCAGGTCCACAAAGGCAAAGATTAAAGAAGTTTGCAGAAATATCTGAGTGCCCCTTCTGCCAGAGCCCTCTAGGACACCGGGGAGATCGGAATTAACTGCAGCAGGTTCACTTCCATGGCACGCAGAGCCAGCAGACACGCGATCCCACTGCCTGGCATGTGCGTATCTGATGGAGCTGCATCTGTCTCCTCGGATTTTCTCCAAGCAATTTGCTCAGGGAACAAGCTCCTCCTGGCATAAGATTTCATCTGCTCTGACTGCTGCTCTCCACCTGAAGCAGCAATAAATCCTCGCCGGGTGACATCAGAGCCAGCTGCTGAGCGCCAGAGTCAGCGGCAGGATTACGGGAAGAGGGATGAATGGGAGATATTAATGGAGCGGCTCCTCCCAGGGACAGGCTCTGCAGCCAAGGAGGGGCTCAGTCCTGCTGCCTCGGTGACTCTCCCATCCCAGGGGACCTCCGCCAAGCCACTTTGTCTCCTGCCTCTGCAAAACCAAATCCCTTCACAGCAATTAGGAAGTAGGCGATTAGGGAGGGAGAAACGTCTGGCTAACACAAGCCTGGCTAACACAGGCGTATGCCAGACCCAGGGTTTCTGGCCCATCACAGACCAATGTTTCCCAGGAAGGAGGTGGGACATCCCCCAGACCCATGCATGGCTCCAGAGAAGAAACTCTCAGATCACTGGGAACTTGACTGGGGCAGGGAAGAACTGAAATCTCCATGGACCCCAGTGCAGCCCCCTCACCCCTGACGTGAGCACAGTCACCTCTCAACAACTCAATGGAGAGAGAAGGCAGCAAGACGGCAGGGAGGAGAAGCGCGTGCAGGCAGCTTATCTTCCACGCACCGGGACCTCTGTGTTTTGCAAACAATTGCAAGGGAGAGCAAAACAGCTCCGCACGCCGGCCGGGATGCAGGCGAAGGCAGAGCCCAGCCAGGCAGGCACGGCCCTGCCTGAGACAACGGCACACAGTCCCTGCGTGCTCTCTGGCTAAGGTGGGCTCCGGCCTCAGCGCCGTACAGTTCAGTCCAAAAAAAATCACTGCTGCCTTCAGGGCAATAACTTGCAACCAGAAAACTCACAGCTAGATTTTCGCTGAGGTTAGGCTGAGTCTGAAGAGGGAAAAAAATAACATGGCAGAATAGCTGCCACCCTGCAAAACGGGCCCAGCAGAGCATGGATGGAGAAGGGAAGGAGGCAGGAGCATCCCCAGCAGGGCTGTGCCTGGAGATGTCCACCCCTGTCCCTGTTACATGGCATCTGTTCCATCACCACCATGCTGGCCCCCCTGTGGCTCGCTGGCAGAGAAACCTATCCGCAAAAACATTCTGGGTGCTGGCAGCCCTCTCCTAGCCCAACAAATTAGTTCAATCGTTTGATACCATGGGGGCATGGTTCATCCCCTCCTGTAACACTCGGAGGGCTTGGACAAAGCTGCCAGATAAGATGGGGGAGCAGAGAGAGAGCACGGACCACTGCTGCTGTCCTCTTCCCACCACCACCATCCTCTTCCCCTTGCCTGATAAAAAAAAAAGGTGTGAAGAGCAGAACTGACTTATCATGAGAAAATTTAAAAAAAAAAAAAAAAGCAACAGGAAAGAAAAAGCCAAAGAGCAAGGAGGCAAGGCTGCGAGGTCCTTCCCCTGGCAGGGCCAGGCCCACAGCAGGGAACTCCTCGCTCCAGCTCCTAGAGCAGCTCCTGCAGCCACCCCCAGCCGCCCGCTCTGCTGAGCACTCACTGATGACGGTAACTTTAACAGCTAAAATATGTTGGAGTCTACAGACTGCCCCAGGGGAGGACACAGGCAGGCAGCACTGCAGAATGCACAGAAGAAAAGGTGCTTTTGAAAGAAGGAGAAAAGAGAAAAGTGGCAAGATGAGCAGCAGAAAGCAAATATTTGCGTTTGCAGAGAGGCCTTTGCCCAGCTCACCGCTGGCGGCGCCTCCGAATCCAGCTGCCAGCACCTGCAAGACACGGCCTGTCTGGTCAGAGCTGAGCCAAAGCCACCCATCGGAGGAGGCGGCCAGATCTGGGGTCTGTATCGCATTTAAAAGCCAGACGTGGCTTTCTCTTAACCCTGTGCTAACACCCAAATCATCCCCCTCCTGAAGGCCAATTTGGCAGCAGGGAGATCCGGCACCTGCTCCTGCACATCACGGCAGCCCAAGGAGGAGCCGGGCTCTGTGCTGGGCTCCCAACTGGGTCCCCATCCAGCGCCAGCCCCTCGGTCATGGCACGGCGCAGGGCACAGCACCGCACCGATGGTGCTGGGAGCCCCTGCGTAATACAGCCCTGCCTGCGGCAGGAGCACTGGGCGCTGGGACCAGCAATTTGGCTTCCCAGGTCCTCAGACGATGCAGTGAAGGAGTGCGGGAGAAGGCAGCTCTGTGCAAAGGCATCCAGGCACCAGCCCAGCACTGCAAGCACCACAGACCCGGCAACACAAGCTGCGTCAGTCCAAGCAATGGCAGTTCCTTGAAGCACTGGGTTTTAATACCATCCAAAAAAAAAGTTATTTTAGGGTTTGACCTTCCTCTAGAGGAGGCTCTGAAAGACCAAGAGGAAAAACAACCATGAGCTATTAGCAAGGGAGACAAGTTAGCAAGGGAGACAAGAGGAGCAGTCAGCGTGTGGGCTCTCCTCTCCCACAGCCTCCTCTGAAAACACCCATGAGCCACCTCCGGCGTGTGGTGAGTCTGCGGCTCCGACCAGCCAGTGTGGCTAAGCCCTGCGCCATACGTGCATGTGTAAGGAGGTCTCTGCGGAGCCAAAGACAGAAGGGTGTCATACACAGTGTGCTAACTCCAGCCGGCATTTTCTGAAGGTACCTTTTGTGGTCCCTGAGAAATAACCCCGGCGAGTACCCAGGAGGCTGCAGGCCAGGGGTGAGAGCCACAGCTCAAGAGAGCTTGGGAATGTCCCCAGCACTTGCACGTGACCATTCAGCTGGGACATGGCCCCAGCCCAGCTGTAGTACTGACCTGCTGCTGGCTCATACACCGCACAAGGACCCATCCCCCTCATTTTCCTCCCTCCAAAACGCAGGTTTTGCTTTTTCAAAACAAATTAATTTCCAGCCTTTAACTTTGAAGGAAAACATCCACTGTGTTTCCAAGCTGCTGTTAGAAATGAATGCAGCAGGCTACGGGAGAGACGCGAGCACAGGAAAGCTGCAAAAAGCCCATTTGCAGAAGTTTATTGTATGAAGAACAGAAGCAGCAGCCTTCGCCGGGTCCCCGGTTCCTCTCCGCATCCCATTCCTGGGCTGATGCTCCCCGGGGCAGCTCCGTGGCACAGCCTCGCCAGAGCACCGGCTTTGGGCCAAGCTCAGGCGGGGGCCATCAGGGAACCCCCTGCCCGGGCAGCCCAGCGGGACACACAGCAGCTCCTAGCTCCAAAGCACAGCTGCGAGGAAGCCCAGCACCAGGCAGAGCTCAGGGAAGGAGGCTTGCATACCACCCAGGTGCTCTGGGCTCATTTTAGACCTTTCTGCTGACTGACTGGGTTTTCCTCATTTCCCCTATCCCAGCGCACTGCAAAGCACCACCAAGGAACTGCTAAGAGGAGCCTGCTCCAACAAACCCTCACTGCAAGCAGTACGTGCTGGCCTTGCTCCCGGGGGTGCAGGGAGCTGGCAGAGGCAGCAGCCATCGCCCGGTGCCAGGGCACACGAGCCACCAGCCGCGCTCCACGCATCCCTCCCGCCACC